TTGGTACCGGGGATTGAACTCGGGTCTTTGCGCTTGCAAGGCAGGCCAGCGAACCGCTGAGCTAAATCCCGGCCCGAAAATTTGTCTTAAATATACTTAAAACCTATACTTCTAAAAATAAATACATTAGCCTCTAGCCAGTTAATTCTGAGTTCCTTCACAAACATCAGAACATAATTTCTCAACGATGGTAGATGATCAATTTGCTGCCCTGTAAACCCACTGTCTATTAGTAATCATTTTGAAATTCAGAAATACCAATGCAGTAACATCCTTAGAGTGTAGATAGAATACTAGCTTTGAACGTAAACATCTTGATTTCCTTGATGTTTACTTCCTATAAATGCCTCTGCTTCACCTCAACATTTATATAGCAGTGGGAGTGCATTTTCTAGTGACAGCTTTCTATTCCACTGACATTACTTTCTAATCAAAGGAGTCACCCGGCATTTCCTTTGCTGTTTCGTTTGAGGGAACGAACACAACATCATCTGTATTTGATATTGCTCCCATAGATCACAGTGAGTTGTGTATTTTAATGTAACTTACAATGTGCTGATACCACTGCGGTAAAGCAGAAATAACTCCGCATTTAAAAAAAGAAAACTCTCCCAGGAGAACGACGTATAAGTGACCTGGTGGTGTATATCTAAGTTCCATGAAGTAACTCAAACCACTGCCAGAATGAACAAACTGGATAACTGATACTGTAGTTCAAACAATAGATGCAGATAAAAAGTCAAAATATTTTTCAAAAAAACAATGCAATTCACAAAAATGGAGTTTTACCTTTTTTACTTTTTCCAAAAAAACCCTTCTTATAATGATACAAACCAGACCAAGTTGTTTAATATAGTACAGTACTTAGCATTTGTTTTTTGAATATAGGAACTTTAGAAATGTGAGGAATCCATGATAAATAACAGAACTTTTGATGCCACTGCCTAAATTTTTAAAAGAAAAGATTGCCAAAGTTGAGATTCAACTTCTGAAAATGACAAGTGTTTTATGTGCTCACAGTTCCAGATTACTAACTTTATAAATTAAATGTAAAGATTATTCTAATATAAACAAGGCCTCTTTTTCATTGATTTCAATCTTATTTAAACCTTTGGACATTTCAATCTTAATATTCCACAAGGTAAGGCTGAGTTTCTCAGATATAAATAAAATGTTTAAATCCAAGAGGTATTGTAGCACTGAGGAAACAGATGAATCAAATATATACAGGCTGGCTACAATACCTGTCTTAAAAAAATTCACAATGTATAAAGATGTCAAGCCACACTCATTTTTGAATTTCTCTGGCTGCAAAAATGGGGCAACAGCATTTTTCTTACTCATCTTTCCTCTTGACCCTCCAGTCAGAGGCAGGCATTAGGTTGAAGGGTGTGGCCGCTTGGGAGGTGGTGGTGGCATGAGTTCTGTGTCAGGGTCCAAGTGATGCTTTCGCTTCTGTCCTTGAGAAGCTGCAGTACATCTGTCGATGAACTCAAACAGCATCTCCTTTGTGACAGGATTTGAGATGCTATTACACACAGCTGTGGATGAAGGCAGGTATTGAGAGTTAATTAGGATGGTGAACTCACACAGGCATATGAGAAAGGTTTCCATCCAAATAAGCTGAACATTATTTTCAATGACTGGATCATATGACTAAACCAATTTCCCTTTCTTGATCCCCAAATAAGTGTTTCTAGTGACTACTCTTTACTGTAGTACAAACTTTAAACCAAAACTTTCAATATTTGGAGTGTAAACATGTCTTTACTCTCGGATTTCTATCCCTCTAGCACAGGGCATTGCAATGTAGTCTACATTCTACTAAAACCTCTACAGAAAAGTACGCTACATGGTCTGTCAATCTCTTTCTCAGAAAGAAGTCCACTCTGAAACATGCAACATGCTATAAACCACTATTCCTAGGGACTAGAAAGGTTCCAGTATAGCTGAAGGAACATATTATTTTATCCTAATATCTTCTTTCAGGTAAGATTTTTTAAATAAAATTATGTAATAAATCATCTTTTTTCATATTTTTAATTCATTCAGTTTATTGGTACATTTTAGATATACAATATAAAGACATTCATTGGGAATTTGTACCTGTATATTATGTATCTTGGTTCTTATTTTTTTCCCCATTCCCCTCTCCTCCCTTTAACCCCTCCACACCTCCCTCTCTACAAAGACTTTGTTTCTGTTTTTTCCTTTTCTCGTATTTATTCCTTTGGGAGGGGGAGGGGAAAAGAAAGAAGGGAAAGCATCTTTTCTTTTTCTTCTTTGGTGCTGGGTATTGAACTCGGGTCCTTGAGCTTGCAAGGCAAGCAGTGACACTACTGAGCTAAATCCACGGCCCGGAGAGCATCTTTTCTTGAGTGATCAAAGTTGAGAACTAACCAATTTCATTTTATTTACTTACTTGGTTTTAGAAAAAAAGATACTGGCTTAATCATTCCTACTTCTGAATTGAACTCATTTTGTCTCAAAATGGGTGCTTCTTCCAATATACGCCCCTAAATGTATAATAATAACTTTAAAATTGTAAAACCTGGACTGGTGATTCCTACATTTTCATAGGAGCTTAAAATAACATCATTATCATCATCATAGTCGCTTAAACAAGTACTTTAAAAGTATACAATTCTCTTAACCTTTAACCTTAGTTATTTTTTTTCAACTCTACTAAACACAATTTAGAGCAACAACTTCTACTGCTAAGTGTACCTTATAAACTTCAGTTAATTTGTTTTGTTCCTCATGAAAAAAACTTAAAAATCTTGGGTTCCCAAAGTATTCAGATTGTACTCAAAGAACATACTGAATGACAGATAGCATAAATAGATTTTTTTTTTGTGGGTTTAATGGTTTTCATTTACTTTGTTCTCCATTATTTGTAAAGCTATTTTAGGAGCTAGAAATTACACTTTCCCCTGCTAAATTTGTTTTTTTACCATCTGGCAAACAATGGTTTTTATAGTTTTGAATAGATCTGAAATTATCATGGCTTTTGTTGTTGTTCAATAAATTCAACTTGTATACAGCCTAGTGTCCTACCCTTTAAACTTCTCTTCTGGGTGAATGACATAGGCCACAGGTTTGGAGAGGGGAACTTAAAGCTGACAGGAGCTAAACAAGGAATAGATCTCACAGACATTTTTCTAGACAAACAAGGATGATGTCCAAATGACTCTAGGCCACACCATGCAAGATAGCACAGGCAGCACATCTTGGTTCTAACATCATAACTTTTGTTTTTTCAATGTAATAAGAACCTTAGCTGGGTGTGGTGGCACACACCTGTAATCCCAGCACTCGGGAGGCTGAGGCAGGAGGATCACTGTAAATTCGAGACCAGCCTGGGCTACACAGTGAGTTCCAAGTCAGTTTCAACTACATAGTGAGATCCTGTCTCAAAAAAAAAAAAAAAAGTAATAAGCACCAGTAGATTGTCATACTCACCCATAGCAGTGTTGTATGCATTAGGAAAACTTTTGTCTGTCCTCTGTCTCATGAAGATCCAGCTGTTGTTCTCAAATTTACATTCTATAATTTTGTTGTCATACTGTTTTAGCTCTTTTGTCACCTGTTTTAAAAGAGAATTGAGGGAAATATTTAAATCATTTGAAAGGCTTTTTGCTGCCACTTTGACAGACACATTAGGAGATGCCAAAAACACCTGAGTAACTTCATGCAGAGTCCTGTGTCATCTGAAGTGCTGATCAAGCCTGAAGATATGGTGTGCACTCTCTTGTACACATGCTCATTTATCCAAAATTTTACACAGTCGTGAACACTGCTGTCAATATATAGCAATTAAAAGAAGCTAAGCCAAATGCAAATATGTTACTATGGGGACCAATGCTTTCAATATTGTCTGTTTCCGTGGCTGTCAGAAATTGGGTGTACTGTTTAGGTTTCATCAACTTTCGGAAAGGCCTCAACAACCAAAATCCCATGTCAAACTCTAAGCAATTTCCTTTATTGGTTAAAAGAAAAAGGTGCACATTAAAAAGTAAACACCAGGATCAAATTCGAGCAATGTGCATCCTAAATATTTTGCTTTTCAAGCAGTGATAACCCAAAACCTAATCATTAGGCTGCGTACCTTTCCTGCTTCCAAGCAAGTATGAATTCAAAGATGAAGTTACCACTTTGACTTTAGCTGGTGAGTTTCATGGCTTCTTCACATCAGATGATTGAATATGGATTACAATTTACTCTATCAAAGCTAATAAGTATCCATAGTAACTACAGAACCTTTTAAAAGATATTCCATTGGGCTGTGAGGATGGTTTTCATAAATACGAGCCTCAGCTTATCTTTGCAGTTTTCAAATCAAATGCCAGTCATGGTAATATTTTAATTCTGTCCTCTTCTTTCATAGCTAACAACTTTTCCTCACAATATGGTAGATTGCAATCATTTAACTTCATTAGCATTATTTGAAATGCTCTCATCTTTCTACCCACATATTCGCTACCACCTAGGAATATGAAGGGAAGCAAAATTTTAAAAGACACTTTCAATTCACAAATTAGGCAATGCGTGTCTTCATAAAAACTTCCAAATTGTATTATTTTTCCTTTAATGAGTATTACATTTGATTTCACTGTTTGCATTTTCAACAAATTAACAGGTTTAATACATTCAGTTGTTCTAGAACTAGGTGTACCCCAAAAATGTGATGTTGGCAAAATTTATTCTCAACTATACATTATTCTAGCCTCAACTCTCCTGCTTTGCTTATTAGAGATTCATCTTTTTACTTTTGATTCATTATTTATATCCAAGAATTGGGCAACTCGTTCTCCTAGGCAACTGTATTTGTGTTATACAATATGAAGCATTTAACAGGAGTAAATTTTTAAATCTTTCAAAGCATCCATTTCTAACTACTAAAATGAAAAAAGGGGTTTTAAATTTACTAGGTCACTGGAAGAATAATAAAGTGCCTGGCACATAGTGGGCAATGAGTAAAACTGGTAATTGAATATGAAAGTAGGTAAGGAAAGATTTCTTTTTTAAAAAATATGATAAAAGATTGACTGCAGTAGCAATTTTTAAGCATACAGTTCAGTGGTGTTAAGTATATCAATACCGTCATGCAACAAATCTCTAAGAGTTTTTTGTCTGCAACACTACAACTGTGTACCCACTAAGCACTAACTCTCCCCGCTAACCAGGCTGTGGTAATCACCTACTTTCTGCTTCTACGATCTTTACTACTTTAGATATTTCAAATGAGTAGAATCTATTTCTATTTCACTTAGTATGTCTTCAAGGTTTATTCATATTGTAATATATGGCAGCAGTTCTTTTGAAAGGCTACACAGTATTCCAGCACATGTACACATCACACTTTCTTTAGCCATTCTCTGTCACTGGGCATCTGGGTTGCTTCTATCTCTTGGTTATTGTGGATAATGCTATGATGAATGTGGGTGTGCAAATATCTCTGTGAGATCCTCATTTTAATTCTTTCGGATTTATATTCACACGTGGAATTGCAGATTCGTAGTAATTCAACTTCTAATTTTTGAGAAACTTCTAGGTTGCAAAAATGTCATCACCATTTCACATTCCCACCACCAATGCACAAAGGATTGTAACTTTTCTGCTTCCTCACCAACATTTGTTATTTTCTTTTCCTTGATAATGCCCATCCTGATGGATGTCAGGTGACACCTCATTGTGGCTCTGATCTGCATTTCTCTAATGACTACTGATTTTAAGCATCTTTTCGTGCGCTCATTGGTGGTGTATTTTCTGTATCTTCTTTGGAGAAATGTCTACTCAAATACCATGCTCTATTTTAATCAAAACGTTTTATTGCTGAGTTATAGCAGTTTGTTAAATTCATACCTTGACATATGATTTGCAATTATTCTTTTTCCATTCCATAGGTTTTTTTTTTTACACTTTTTTCTTTTGATGAGCAGCAGTTTTGAAGTTTGATGCAGTCCCTTTTGTCAATCTAGCCTTCTTGTCTATAATTTTCGTGTCACACTAAAGAAAGCATTGCCAAATCTTATGTCCAAAACAGTTTCCCAATGTGTTTACCTTCATAGGAGTTTAACAGTCGAAAGTCTTACATTTCAGTTTTCAATACATTTCTTAAGTTTATTTTTTTATATGGTTAAACTCAGAGTCCAACTTTATTTTCTTGCATATGAACATCCAAGTTTTCCTACCACAATTTACTGAAGAGTCTATCCTTCTTCACTGTATAATCTTGGTATACTTCTGGAAAATTAATAAATGCAAAAATTTATCTCTTGGCTCTCTATTCTGGTCTAATGATCCATCTATCTTTCTGCCAGAAATTAATTATGCTGGTACAAGATCCCAACAATGAATGTAACTGTACTGTATCCCTAAAATGTACCAATAAACTCAAAGCTGAAAAAAAAAAAGAAATTAATTATGCTGAGTTACTGTTGCTTCACTGTATGTTTTGAAATCAGTAGGAAGTATGAGGCCTCCAATATTGTTATCTCTCTACTACTGGTGTCCCATGAGATTCCATATGCATTCTAGGAACTTTTCTCTTTCTTTTTTTTTTTTTCGGTACCGGGGATTGAACTCAGGCCCTTATGCTTGTGAGGCAGGCAGCAGAACCACTGAGCTAAATCCCCAGCCCAGAACTTTTCTATTTCTGCAAAAAAAATACCACTGGGGTCAGGCATGGTGGCCCATGCCTGTAATCTCAGCACTTAAGAGGCTGAGGCAGGAAGGACTGCTGCAGGTTCAAGGACAGTCTGGGTCACACAGTAAGTTCAAGGGCAGCCTGAACTATATATAGTGAGATCCTGTCTTAAAAAAAACAAAGCAAAACAAAACAAAACACAACAGAAAAAAAACCAAAACACTGGAATAGATTCTGGTAGAGAATACACTGGATCTATAAATTGCTTTAGGAGATATGGATAGTTTAACAATATTAAGTCTTCTAATTTGTGATCATCAAATGTCTTTTCACTTATGTGTATTTTCTTTTAGCAAGAAACAGTGTTCAGTTTTCTGTTAAAAAAACAAAAAACTAAATTCACTGAAGAAACCATGCTATCGTGAAAAGGTACACTTTGAAAACAGCTGTCAGGAAAATTATATATGCACTTCATAAGAATGGGGCTTGCTAGTAAACACTGTGCAGTCTGTACTTTTATTGGCCAGCAACTGTGGTTAAGTCTTTATTATATATTTTATCATTTTTGTGTTCAGTTTCAGCATTGCTATAAATTATGTGTTGCTCCATCTGACTACAGCAATTAAGCAGTATTATTAACTATCTGCGTATCTGCTTGGCCAAGCACTAACAATCTGGGAAACAGAGCTTTCCAGAAAATGCATGCACCTGCCACTACTAACTTAACTTCATTTCTGTGTTCAATAACAGCACATCATTCTTCATGGATTGCACCAGTTGTATTCCCAAGGCAGACACACTGTGAAGTACTCACTTGGTTAGTTGGTAAAATATATTTAACTGATAAAAGCATTTCCCTTATATACACAAAATAAGACAGCTTTCAGTACTGGTCAGACAAAGAGAATGATTGGCATATGGGGAGGAAATTAATTTTAGTTACCATATTTTAATTTGTTACTATGACAATTCTCATCCATAGACAATTACATACTGTTATTTACTAAAACAAGACCCATTGACCTCATATAATTAACTCTCTTCACCTAGTTTGGGTTAATGAAAGCTTTAAAGTAAAAACAGTAAAATGTTTATAAATCAGAGTTACACATCTGTACACACAATTACTTTAGATTAATAAATCTGTATTTTTTTTAAAAAAAAGGGTAAAGAGCAGAATACTTTACATAGAAAGTTTTTTCTACTGTCTCCATCTTACTGAGATGGATATTAACGTATTTATCCTATATGATTCTATTAATAATACAAGGTTAAGAGACTGCTGGGTGAAACCCAACCTAGTAATCTACATTTTTTAAATTAGCAAAGAGAAATTTTTAAAATCTAAGTGGAAGAACAGCTGAATTGATCTGCACAAAGTAGGCAAAGACCTGTTTCAGTTTCTCAGGGTGGGACAGGAGCCTCTACGATTACTGCCCTTGCTCTGCAAGAGTTAAATTTTGTTATCAAGGGCTTATCTTTATTTTGGGGATGCTACGAGGGATTACACCCAGGACTGTCACACTTAGCTATATTCCTTTGTCTTTTTTACCTGAGACAAGGCTTTGCTAAGTTACCCAGACTGAGCAGGAACTTGGGATCTTCTTGCCTCGGCCTGCCAGGTATGTGCTCCCATACCTTGCTTCATCTATTTTTTTCTTTTAAGAGAGAGAGTGTACAGAGGCCTGGGAGAGGGTAGTTTCTTTGAAATAATCTGCTATGAAGATACTTTCAAACAACAAATATCCTGACAATGAGAAAGCCACCAAAGTGATCTTTTTTTTAACATAATTTTGACTAATTTTTAGACTGACAGAAAAGTTGTAAAGAGAGTAGTTTCTGTATTACCTCTTACCCAGCTTCCTCTGTTATTTCACATATCATATTTATCAACTCTAAAATAACTAACATTGGTACAACACAATTAAAACCAAACT